GGGCTTGCCAATTTCTGTATGGCGCCCTAGGATGGCATGTCTCGTACGGTCGCACCTAGATTGCCACCTCTCGGGGTTTAAAGTAGATATCGGTTAAGATCCACTCAACGTCGACTGTGTGACGGCTTGTGAGCCGAAAATACTTATAGCCTTCAATGGCTAGCGAAGGCAACCCATGTGTCTATCACTTCGAGGTTATCAGCAGACTAATACTGTTACGAAATAGCCACTGAAGCTACGTAAAAGATAATGCCAAGAGTAACGGAAGCGTTACCCGTGTGGCAGAACAAACCTTAAGTTAGCTTCATTGCCGCTGTAAACATAAGCTAGATTTAGATGCCTCTGGATATGTATAAGTAGCACGGTAGACTTGTAGGCGGTTTGCTTCTCCATATATGAATTATAGATTTACCTTTCAATCAAATAATTGCCCACTTACTTTCTATATTTGAACTGTGACAGAGCGTGCGAATACCGTCGAGGGTTCTTATGGTGGCAGGAACATTTGTGATCCGAAAGGCGACAAGGTTAGAGGCTTCTCTCAGCTTGGCTTTAAAATTCCCCAATTTCGGTGCGGCATCTACGAGCCTTTCCCTTGTATTTTAATCCCTTTCAGAATCGCACAGATTGCTCTGACTCAGTGGTAAGATCTGGCGTCACCTATAGTGCGCTGCAGCTCCTTCTGTATTTTCAGCCGTGAAGCGCAAGGTGAGAGCTTGCGCCACGGGTGATCCTTTTCTAGGCGAAAACAAAGTCTTTTGTCGACTTTCGCCTTCGGAGCGTCTTCTTCTGTGGCCTTGGCCGCAGGTTGCGGTACAGTATTTACTATATAGACTGCTGCTTGTTGCAGTCCGTTTTTTGGCTACCGTGACCTGATTGTTTTTTGCAGACAGTACTGGGACGGCGGATATGGTTTGGCTCCTGGCTTCTGGAGCCCTTGGGATTGGGCAAGCCGGGCGAGGAGGGGAGACGGCTGGCGCGGAGACCGGGCCCGAGCCCATGTATTGCGCAATGGTGGCGCGTAGGTAGACTCTTATGGAGTCTACGAATTGTCAATTTGATTCATTAGTCAAAGGGAGGAGGGTTGTTTCGACGCCAGAGCTTGCGTTGGAACAGAGTGCCAGGTTTGCCGCTGTTTCGGCGGCGTGTCGTTTTTCGGCTTCGACGATTGATCGAGTCATTGATGCCCTTTGCCGAGGAACGTATGGATGAGGCCAGTATTTTAACTTAAAATTCTTAGCGCATAACAATTGCGACGGGATGAATGTCCATTCTTATCTTTGATTACGAGGATGAATTTAGAGCTTTATAGTGCTCCGGTGAGTCGCGAGTTGAATATAGATGGAAAATATCTTCAAGAAAATTTGAGTTTTTCAAGATTGTCAGTTGTTCTAACACAAACATCGGATAGTTTTATCCTTTCTGCGGCTCGAAGTTGAGGCACTAATTTTGACCTCATTGTGTTTTGCAGCCGTCAAATTTCTGTAGACTGTTATTTCGAACAGAGACTTGCCCGCGCCACTCCTTCGGATCGCCCTCTGGACTAAAATCTAGACGAAGCCCTCTTACGTGACCTAATCTCAACTCTAAGATTATATTTTGTTATGAATGCCCTTTTCATGTTAGTAGTACATCGTCACCCACGCAGATTGACTTGCAGAGCCAGGGAAACAGAAACAGGTTAATGATAGATTAGATACCGCCGATCACTGAACTCACTCGTATACCATTCCTAAAAGAGACTAGCTGCGGCTCTATCTGGAAGTATGTGGGATTGGTAAATTATCTGGAAGATTATCATGTAAGTAATCTGTAACATAGTGTGACAGATTATAACATAGTAACGCATTATGATAAATTCTAAAAAAACATTATTTTTGCCTAAAAGCTGCGCAGCGTTCCACGCTGCGCGTATCATCAATTTGACATCGTGATCATTATTTTTACATGTTTATTACTCTCATCTTTTCGCTTTCCGTGCTCCAACATGGCGAGTGTGGGTGCTGGTGTGGGTAAATCCAGCGGCTACGACGCGTCGCAAAATGCGACAATGGCCTCAACCAACAACAGCAGCGGAGCGCAGACAGCTCCAAAGGACAAGAACCTTGAAATCCTAGGGAAACTATTGAAACAGGTTAGACTAATCGCGATGAGAGAGATAGATGATGAGGATGTTAACGAGGCCGTCAAGGCCTTCAATGCGCATAAAAGGGCCTGGACGGAAATGTCTCAGAAGAAGTCTCCTATCGAGGAGAGGATGATGGCTTTAAAGGAAGTCGCAAAGAAAAGCCTCGCAGATCCCGCTCGGAAAGCTGCTCCAGCAGCGGTTTCGGGCCTGCCGACAGCAAGGAGTTACGCGTCGGTCGTGGCTCCACAAATGACAAAAACAGCGGTAAGAATAAGAATCGACGGCGCCCAAGACTTGCAGCCACAAGAGCTGCTTTCAAAGGCAAAAGGGCACATACAAGGTGCATACGCAATTCGTCAAATGCGGAGCAACGATACCGAGGTATTCGTCCAGTCGGCGTCCCAGAAAGACGCGGCGCTAAATATGCGACAACCAACGGACTTCAAAATTCTGCGGCAAGATTTTCCAGTTGAGGTCGACGGTCTCCCATTGCGGACACGAATTGAAGGCGGCAGAGATGCCAACAATTTTGCCATCATCAGGGAGATTGAGACAGCTACAAAGGCACGGATTCCAGGCTTAGTTATAAGTCGTATAAGGTGGTTATACGACGGAAAGAAACACCAGCGGTGAAAGAAAAATGGCCGCACTCGTGGATCAATTGTGGTAAGCCTCCCATCGGAGTCAATGCAGACGGAAGTGGTCCGAAACGGCCTTGTGATGATCGCCATGCTCTACACCGCGCAGGTGTGGTCACCACGGTCCCAGCAAAAGCAGTGTTACAACTGCAGCCAGTGTGGACACACGCAGGTGTCGTGTAGAAAGGCAGCCAGGTGCGGTGAGTGCGCTGGCGCTCACCAAACTCGGGACTGTCCGAGGAAAAGGGTTTCTTTTGCGAACTGCGGCAAGGAGCACCGTTCGTGGCATAAAGCAGCGTGTCAGACCTACCAGGTCTACAAGGGAAGTGTGGAGAAGGCTCGGATGGAGCTGTTGTCAAAAACGGCGGAAATATGGAATGAAAAACCAACAATGACGCCAATGCGATTAGTCGGACCAACTGATGATCAGGGATTTATTTTGGTCACCAGTAAAAAGGCTGAAGGACTCAAAAGAGGACCGTGATGACCACGTAAGTTAGTGGAAGCCCCAGCGGCACCAACCATCGCCTCGACAGCAGCAGCACCATCGGGGCAAACTCTTCGAACACTTCGAAGACCAACGCCGAGTGAGGAGGTGCCTTCTCTACTTAATTTTTTATAACAATGGTCTGATTGAAGGGGGAGTTAACGAATTCTGGGGAAAGTTTAAAAAATTATGGTTGAAAGGAACGTCCTCAGCATTGAGCCGGGTCGGTTCGAAGTGGCAGGACATCGGGTTTTGTTTGTTGAAAGCTTTTTCCCTTCTTAACATGGCTTACCTTCTTCATAGTTCTGTCTATAGATACCGCATAGGACGTTAAACTAGAACAATGAATGAACACATTAAGATATCATTCGCATCAGTCAGAGAAACAGATCATGTCCTAGTAGATAGAACGTGGAACCTCCAGTATCGGATGACACGACTCGCTTAGTTACGAGCCGTGCACTGTCTGGACAAAAGACGCGTCAGTTAGTACACACCGAGTAATGTAAGCGACGAGTCGTTGAGACGATCTGTCAAGTGAAGGAGTAGTCATTCTTTGATGACACAAGTCATTGACAGAGTACTTCTCAGTTATACGAGAGAATGAGACACGTTTAGAGTAGAGTAGATAATTGGAACACAGTTTTGTGGATGGGGACTTCTATGAGACCCTACTCATATCACAACTGTGGGATATTAATTCAATCCCGATTCATCTACGCCTTACATTTACTGTGCAGTGTCTCTTATCAAGTTATACAAGTAATCAGAATACGTATATTTTAATAGCGTGCCATGATATTTATTGCCACAATCACTCAAGTATATTCTTTGCGCCCTGAGTAGTAACAACCATTCAATCTAAAATACCAATTGTATACGACATTAAACACAACCACCCTCATAAATATTTCACTACCAGGCTCGTAAAAGACGCCATTGACAGATGTTTAGTCTTTGTCCTCCTGGTCATTCAGGTGGGACGAGGTCTATGTATTGGATAAGGTTTAACCTGACCCAGCACGGTCTAAGTAGCACTCCAACTCCTTTGAATGCGGAGGATAAGAGATTCCAAGCAGATTAACTTATAAACATACCGAAATCTGGACAACGTCCATTATCCAAAATAACTGCAGCACGATTCCCCTACTAGAAAATTTGCACCTTTTTTTAAAGACAGTTGGAATACAGCTTCGTAAATTGCGCATTGTGTATGGGAGATTCGAATAGTTCATACTTCGAGTAAATGTTCTAGACCCTTTAATTTTTCATTGATTCCACGTAAAAATCATTTCTTAAGAGATAAACAAGTCTTTGCTTCGCTGGACTTGGACTTAAAAGTCCGTGAATTCGAAGGAATTTTGATGGTGAGCGGGCCCCTGAGTACGTCTCATATCTATCCAATGCCAAAGCAGAGATGTCGCGGTCAATCACATATCTAGCCCGATAAATGATTTAATATCTTGTTTAAAATGTCCAGAAAATTTGTCATCACGTAAATAAGCTTGATGTAGGCTTATGTTTCTTCTTTCGCGATGATAATCTTATCAGTCGGGACAATTGTAACAAATTGAGCTTTGTGTCCTCTCGAGTGTCTACCTGCCTAAATCTATATTGGTCTTAGAGACATATTTCGAGTATTCTTTAATCATCTCAAGACAACTCAAGACCCGATAAACATCTTTAACACTTTCATTTTGAAAGTTCTGCCTCTAAGACTATGCTATCACCCGATAGAAACGGTTTGTTATACAACGTAGTCTCCTTCGCCTTCTGCATCTTCTTCGTCTCGGGACGAAGATTCACGTCCGGCAGCGCTGCCATCATTTCCGATTTGTGATTCAAGATTCAAGGTTGGACGCGATAGCTGTTGCTGTTGCGAAGAAACTTGATAAATCTATTGCTAAGAGTCATTAGCACTCATACATCAATAAAGTATCGACAGTCACGTGTCGAGCGTACCTGAGGGGGAGGCATGGGTGGAAACCCGTATAAGCTTCCTATTTCGCTATACATTTGGCCAGCAGAGCCTCCATAGCCAGTTTGACCAGAGGTCGCTGGTCCAGGTCCGACAAAGGACCCATCCCTAAGGGCGTATTCGTCTTGATGTTCGACCCCAATCTGGTCTGCATACCCCGAAGACGTTCCAAGTGATACCGGTAATTGCTGAATAGCAGTATTACTAGCCGCTGAGACCGGTCCGCAATTACCTCTTTTCTGCTTGTCACCACAGAGGTCCTCTCGGGGCACAATATCGATCAGGAAATCGAACATGTCGGACTTACATAATGCCGATGCTATGTCTGAACGCTGTAGAGTTCTGCGCTTATTTTCTTCGGCATGAATCCAAGCCCTCATAGTTAGCTCTGTGATGAATATATCACATCCCTTAGCAAACATGATCGGTGCCTCGGCACTAATCATCTTTACGTCAGGGTCTGCCTTCATCACCTTTTTAATACGGGCGAGAGGAAGCTGATGAAGCTTATAATCATGGTTATCGGTTTCAAGGTGGTTAATGGTGTGTTGCCAATATGTTGTAAGGATGTCCTTGTAATTTCCGTGTAATCCTTGGTTGACCTGCTTTAATTAGATAAGAAAGGGTAATTTGGTAGATGAATACATTGGCCCATATTCCAGTATAAAATTCAGCCACAGGTGCGTACCCCTGACCAGATAGCTTCATAAATTAGCACTTTTGTCTACTTGTGGGTTTAAAAGCATACCGATGCGCTAGCACCTGTTTGAAAATTTGTTAGCACTTTAGATCGATAAATTGAAACAGTCATTCTCAGCTTCTGAAAGACATGATTAATACTGACCATAATGGCCCCCGTGAGCGACGTCATACGTGGGTTGCGAGTGCTGTTGTCCCTGTTCCTCTTCGTTTTGGGTTTGTTTTGTTGATTCCATATTTGATTTATTCTTGAATTTGAGTTAAGTGCGAGGGATTTGAAAATATATTTGGTAGACTTTGTAATTGTATTAGTAGAATGTAAATGTCTGTCTCTGAGATCGAGGAATAAGTGCTGTGAGAATAGTCGGATGGCACTCTTACGGTTTAAATGAGGTGGAATTTATTAATTCATCAGCCTCGATGACCCTGTAAGAGATTGTGCATGATGCATAGGCCCGCATATTTTGTCTAATGCACCGGCAATACATGGATAACAGCAGAAGTAAGCATATCACATCTGGAAGTGAATGCAAATCTTAGCCCGCGCATCTATCACAGTTTGGACTGACTGTGGATATTGCCGCGAATAATTAGCACATGTAGTGCCCCGTTCGAGGATCACTTGTTACACACCACATGATCGTGAGACTTCTTGTATCCTCAATTGAAATTCTGCACGATTGCTGACGATCAAAGGCACACTTGCAGCCAAGTGGACATGAAGATATTGGCGTTAGGCTATATAATACAATCAAATACGCAAGACTGAAGTCTGTTTACGTTAAGAGAATGATTGATTGGGCTTGATTAGCAAGGGAGCATCAGAGGGATAGAAATACTCTTGTACGGTGCGGTGTAGGATAAGGCTGTCACTTGGTGGAGACCTGTATGATAACCCGATAGACCACATTTGCTATGTATCTGATTCGTTGAAAGCGGATAATAGCTCTACCTAGAGCACATCAATCCCTTTTTCATGACTTATGTCCGCGGGAAGGATAATCAAAGTATCACTAAGGCACCATGCCAGTCCTGCACCTGATTTTGCCCATGGCGTCGGAGTAGCAAGGCGTAGATCATACCTGGCTTAAAGCGGCGATCTGTATCGTGGTGCCACGGTATCAAGTTTGCAATGGGGCTTTGACAGGGGTTGTAGCGTGTAAACTAAGACGCCTTAGGCATAGTCACCTTCCACATTGGAGTTAGCCCACGTATTTGTGCAAATTTTTGAAAAATTTGTATTGCGGTTTTTATCTGGACACCGTAGTTTATATTGGGTCTTTCTTTCATACTAAACCTAATTTGTATAATGATCGGCTGCATAACATTTGTGCATTTTTGCTACCTGACTATATAAATTATTTACAAGAGTTCAAAGGTTTTCAAATTACAAAATAGAGCCAGTCTTATCCTAACCTTAGATCTGAACATGTGGCCGGAATATTTTCAGGCCTTAATATCTGGTCGGTCCCCCATTCGCATCTACCACAGCCTGAAATCTTGCTGGCATACTCTGAATGAGTCTCATAAAATCTTCGGAAGACACGGAATCCCATGCCTCCTTTACAATGTTGAGTAGACTATCTTTAGTTCGCTGCTTTCCGCAACCTAGATTCGGATGATGACGCTGGATGTGATCCTTCATCTTATTCCAAACAGCTTAAATTGGGTTAAGATTAATCGAGTTGGCCGGCCAGAAATCGGTTGAATGAGCCTCTGGCTCATATCTTCCATTGTAATTGCGGCTGTGTGGGCAGGGGCATTACCCTGCGTTACGGAAAGCCAAGGTCTCATCGAGACCATGCCATCAATAAGAGGAACTATCTTCTCGCGATATTTTTGGGAGTTAATGGAACCCCATTCCTTCTGCCTAAACAAACGAGGGCCTTTTTCTGGCCCTGCGAAGCAACTCCAGAACATCCATCCGACCCTATTCTTCGATTTTTCTCCAACACAATCAGCGTTGTATTATTGGGAAGTCTAGCTCATAATGTTAAAGCATCAAATTACCATCTTCTCATATAACAATGTAAGGACACTTCTTGTCGCCCATTCTCTAGATTGTCTTCCATCCACTACCCAAGTTTCGTCTGTCCATAAAACTGACGTCCAAACTTCATATGTCCAATTGAGATGAGCTTCGTCCCATTCTCTGCGTGTATTCATAGTTTTCTGAGATACTGGAAGCTTTAGACGAGCCACATGTAGCTGATATCCTTTTTTTTTAAGTTCTCTTTGTATTACCCGCTCGCTAACACCAAGATGTCTAAAGGGGCCAGAGACGAGTTCCAGAAATGTTTTGCGGCGGTTTCCAGGTGAAGACTCAACGTAAGATATAATCTGATCAACATCATCTGCTTTCAGCCTTGAGGATGTTCTTTTTCTCTTTTTAGGGAGACATTTCCGCGGCGCAGTAAATAGCTAACTTGTCCCTGAGAAACGCCTAGTTGCGCGGCAATCTGCGTCTGGTTTTTGCCAGATTCATGAAGCCTATGAATCTTATTTTTTTTTAAGTTATGTTTGTTCACATCTAATTTTTCTACTTACAAAAATGTTTTGATCTCTGGATAATTGTTTGATTCGAGGCATTGAAGGTGGGGGTTGAGGTGGATTCATCTGTAAAATAAGGTTCTTATCGAGTAAAGCCATGTGTCTTCTGAATAAATAACTTTGCATTTGAGAAATCTAATTCTTATTGTAACTCAAGCACAAGGTGAGAAGAGCTGTGTAATTTTTTAGCGGTCGGCGCTCATCAAAGCAATGGGAAAGAACTAGAGAGCGGGTTGGATTTGCATAAAACTGAGGGTGGCATGAAATCAAATTGTGCCCTCGGTTTAGGCCTGGATATACAGGACAAGAATTATGTACCCTGTCGAAATTGGCGCTAACAGGGACTTCAACCCCTGAAGCGAGTATGCTCCCCACTTAGATCAACTGCAAACTTGAAATCGTGGCACCACAGTAGACCCAGGAGGAGAAAAAAGAGATTAACGCTTGTTAGTCGTGTGATTTTTCTGTATGTGCTTATTGACCTGTAGTGTTTACGGCTATGACGTGACTTATAGTTCCTTTCTACCTACAGGCAGGGAGTATCTATGCTTCGGGTAGTGTACTCCCTCCTTTGCCTCCCTCACGACTTCTTTCCAGCAGTAATACCCCCACAGGTCTTCATTCGAGTACACACTAAAAGGAGCCGTTATCCCGTCATCATCTCCCCTCTCCAGCCAACGAAACAATGGCCATTTGCGGGTGTGTAGCTGCAGGGAAAAGTCTCAAAAACCACTAGGTGCGGGACTCTCCTATGACGAAGAGGCCGGCCAGCCGGGCGCAGCAGACCTGTGTATACCTAAGAGCGTCTCTCAAATTTCCTAGCCTTCTCTTCACTCCTACCTTGATTCATGCCGCACGACAAACCGAAGGTCAGGAAAAGATGTCAGAAAAGTCTTGGTCGAGAGTGACTGCCGTGAAGGAGCCTAGCCTAGCATCTAAAAGTCGGTACGGACGTGGGGTTGTCGGGAAACTCATGTATTTCAGATGCCCTCCTGGCTAGTAGATTCGGAGGTAAAGATTAGTAGGGACGATTCTATTCACGAGTCGAAATCTGCTTTTCTTGAGGGCGGAAGGGTCTTTTACTTTGCTTTCGTGGGCTTTTTGTTTGCCCGCCAGTGGGTATCACAGGAAGACGTTGTGATTTGCCGTCCAGACATGAAACGCCCTCGCAGGTCCGAGTGACCCACGAACCAATTTGACTCGAGACGTGAAGCTTGCGATGGAGTAGTGGCGACTCAATAAATACTGTCATGGCTAAATGGTGCAGTGTCTCATCTAGGTCGATATCATAAGTTAGTTCTGGTTATGTTTGACACTTATCCCACTCGAGACAGGAGATTGCTAGTTTTGTTGAGACAAAATATAACTATATTTCTCGCGCCGCTGGTATATATGGATTAAACAGGTTTAAAGACGTCACTTTGGTTGGTACTCACGGAGGAGGGTCGACTTATTGTGTGAGTAAACTGTAGGAATACTCTCGCATAGAGTAATCTAATTTGCTTGGACTAAACTTAACAATGAAACTGATCAGGAAGGAGCTTTGGATTAGTCATGAATTAGTCATAGAAGGAAAGGTGGTCAGAGCTGAGATGGAAAACTATTCTGGCGAGTAGTTCCTTTGGGAGACGAGTCCGTGAATAGAGGTGGTTGCGATATATATACTTAATATTGTAAAAGTGCAAGGGAAATAATAATTGTGTAAACCTTAATCCTTGCATGTCCTATGTTAGCCCTAATAAGCGAGCGACGCTAAATGGGCTGATTTATGGGGGAACACTCTATACTTGGAATATGTGTAACTTTTGTATACTTAGATTTATATATACCGAGTTAGGGTAATATAACTTCACCTTTTGAGAAAGGTTTTAATATGGTAGCATTATCTTTTTACGATCAAAAGAACTCCTTTACTTTCTTCACACAACGAAAATGTCAGGAAAACTGTCTAAAGCTGATCGCGACATTATTGCACAACAGAAAGACAACAATCTTGAGTCCGATCAATCGGTCGCAAGTATTTCGGGCAAGACAAGGCCCAGCAATTACAAGATGGACGAGTCAAGGTCCAATAGGAAATCCAATGTGAGAAGGAAGAATGTCGATAACGAGTCTAGTTCTTCGGCGAAAAGGAGCGAACAGTCCGACAGCGACGACGATTGGTGGAGTCCTCCTCAAAGGACATTACAAGTAACCACAGCAGAAATAAATCTCAGGTGGGATCAATTACAGTGGAAACCACACAAGGACCACTTTTTACGCGGCTCCCAGGATTGGGGAGTTTATAAAAATGACGTGATGTTCGCTTTGCAGTCGATAGGGTATGTTAAAGGGATCAAATTAACAAACCTAGATAAAGCAAATTTCGGATCAATGATCAGGAGATCAGTGACCGATAACCCAAGAAGAATCATTGAAGATTTAAGCAGCGGATCGGATATGATGAAATTACTCAACAAGACATATCGACAGTCTGGCACAATACAGGCTGAAAACTTTTTCAATGACCTAATAGAGCTGGCTTACGACGGAGGTAACGCCATCGATTTCGTGACAAAATTTAGAGTCTGCGTTAGAGACTTTAAATCAACTGGTCAGGAGTTAGCTGACAATATCACAATACTTATATTCAAACGTGCGGTCGAGAAAAGGGCCCACAGATGGCATTATGAGGCCTCACATACCTCAAAAACCAAACAATGGTCGTTGGAAGAACTGATCAACGATTTCATCTCCAACCACAGTCTCAAGGCTTTTCATAACACAAACAAATATTATCCCAACAGAGACTTTCGGGTAAACTACAACTTTGACAACAAAAGGGGAGATAAAGCCAATATTCGGCTAGGTCAAATTGAAAATAGAGGCAAGCTGGCCTTTAAACCTAAAATAAATCAGGGTGACAAGAACCCTGAGAGTAAGAACCAAGTTGTATGTTACATTTGTGGAAAAACTGGTCATTATGCAAATAATTGCCATAGCAAGAGGGGAACAACTCAAGGTCCTCATCGATGTCACATCTGTAGGGGCAATCACTATGCAAGAGAGTGCCCGGCTCGAAAGTCGGATCATGATCGTCCTTTAAATCAAATTTCAACGAAGGGTAAAGAAAAGATGATCGAGTATAATGTTGGTGATGATTGGTACGATGAGTGGATGGAAGAAAATGGGATAGTAAACAACCCAGAGATTGAAGAGACGCCACACTCCAGTAATGATGATAGCTCATGCTATGGAGTGAGTTTAAACTTTGCCCATCAACTGAATAACGCATCAATTAACTCTTTAATTAGAAAGAGGTGGCTGTTTGATACAGGGGCTGATATTAATGCCACTAACAACCTAAAGAATTTTGTCAAGGAGTCTGTAAGGAACTTAAGACCACGGGAGGTGGCAATAAGGACAGGCAGTGGAGTTATTTATCCAGAGAAAATAGGCGAAGTATGCCTCAAGGTCAGAAATTCAAAAAATAAAGCGAGAAGGCTCAGATTAAAGAATGTCTTTTATGTTAAGAATCTTCCCGTAAACATTATAAGCGGCGAATTGTTTTACAGAAGTGGATGCTCATTACAAGGTGAAAAGCTTGTTGACAGTAATGGAAGTATTATATCTTTAATAAACGTCAATAAACGAGGATTTTTTCTCTGGCTTTCTGGAGAAGATGAACCAATGAAACATATCAAATCAGGATTCCCGTGCCAATTAGACAAAGAACACAACAGTAAAAATTCAAAAATTCCCTCTGACGAAACCATTAGAAACCTAACCTTGTGGCATCGAAGATTATGCCACCCAAGCGCAGATAGGTTGCGGTGGACAATTAAAAATACTACTGGCATAAACCTAACCCCGAGTGATGTTATCAATATACCATGTGAGGCTTGTGATCTAGGTAAATCTGTAAAATACACTACCAATGAGAGACGACGACGAGCTGAATACGTCGGAGAAGGATGGCACTGTGACTTGGGATCGAGCAACCCTAAAACCATGGATGGCAATAGTTACTACTGTTTAACGACGGATGATCTATCTAGATACCGTTTCCTCAAGCCACTGAAGACCAAAAAGGATGCGGCAGTTGAGTTGATGAACATCCTGAGAAATATTAACGCTGAACTGCAGCTTGAAGGGAGAAGAGTCAGGTGGATTACAATTGACGGAGGCAGAGATTGGGGCATGTCGAGATTTGAGGAATTCGCTGCAGACCAAGGTATAGATATCATTGTGTCCGCCCCAGACAATCAGCATCAGAACGGAGTGTCAGAGAGAGGAATTAGGTTCATACAGGACGCTGCCCGATGCTGCACAATTCAAACAAAAATACCATCGGTATTTTGGGACAAAATAATGGAGACAACATGCTATACACTCAATATGACATCTCAATCTCCAGTCGATCAGCACAAGACCCCATATGAAGTATTCTGGTCAGCTATGAAAGGCAGGCCGATTAAGCCAGACGTCAGTCACCTCTTAATTCCCGGATCAAGATGCATAACACATGTAGAGAAGTCGCGCAGAATTGCAGGAGAAAAGCTAGACCCCAGGGGTGCAAGGAGTGTGTTTCTCGGATACAAGGGACGTACAAACAAACTTGTATGGATATTGGGCGGTGGGAGATTCTTAGTCTCACCAAATGTTTTAGCATACGAGAACGTTGGTAAAAATTTGGGTTGGCCAACAGAACCCCAAGAAGTAGTGAGGTCATTGCCAACCAGCGTCCAACGTCGTTTGAGAGCTAGGAAAACCAACTATGCCAGAGAAGAGGACTACAATAGGACACGAAGTGTATCACCGCCACATGAACCTAAAGGACCAGGTCGGCCAAAGAAGACAATTAGAAGACCTTTTGACGAAGCACCATTGTTCGAAAGTCAAACAAGGAACAAGAACATGAGCCCAAGCATAAACAACGAAGATGAACGCCCAACAGAGGAGGACTCAGATCACGAGGAAGAAATTGGACAAAGTGCCCATTGCCTCATAGAAAAATCAATCAAGAGGCAACTCCATAACCTACATGGAGATGGAGACGACATGTTTAGGCTATTAGCTAACTCTTCATCTGTCGCTAAACAAATCGTATCACCAGATGAACCTAACCTGCAGGAAGCAATGAGTAGCTCCGAGAAAAACGAGTGGCTAAAGGCTATCTTTACTGAAATAAAGGGGTGTGTGGATAGGAAAACATTTCAGTTTGTTCCAAAAAATTCAGCCAAACAGAATGGCCAAATTATCTCAGCGAAATGGGTGCTTAAGAAAAAGTACAAATCAAATATGGAACTGGACAAATTTAAGGCTAGAGTTGTAGCAAGAGGATTTTTACAAAAGAAGGGTATTGATTTCAATGAAACAACAGCTTCTACGGCTAGATCAGCTAGTTGGAGAGTATTGATGGCATTGGCAGCCATAAATGAATGGCACATTCTGCAAGCTGACTTTATATCAGCTTACTTAGCAGGAGACTTAAAGGAAGTCATTTATATGCGACAGTTTCCTTACCTCAAAGAATTTTTTAATTCAAACCCAGATCTAAGTAAGGCATCAGGATATACAGAGGAAAGTATAATCCAACTACAAAGGCCACTGTACGGATTAAAACAATCCGGAGCGTGTTGGCAAGATAAAGTTAAATCATTAATGCATACTCGAGGGTTTAAAGCGTTGGCAGCCGACGACGCAATTTACTTTAATAAAGATAGTGGAGTAATAGTAGCGTCGTACGTTGACGACTTTCTATTAATAGGGCCTGATAAAAGTAAAATCAGTGCATTAACAAAATCCTTGAATAAATCAGTGCCACTGAATGACTTGGGAGAAGCTTCATGGTTTTTAGGAGTCAGAGTCCAAAGATCATCACCCACAGGGAGTGTGAGGTTAGACCAAAAACAATACATCGACAGGTCAATGATAGAACTGGAATTACAGAGTCAACGGCCCGTACCAACACCTATGTCAGTTGCTAGTAGGCTAGACATGAAGAAATATAACGGAAAAGCCTCGAGCACAGAGCTTTATAATTACCAGAGGTTAATAGGAAAATACAACTTTTCGGCATGCATGACCCGATGCGACACTTCACAAGCTATGTCTCAATTAGCGAGATACATGTGTAATCCTTCTCCCCATCACCACAAGCATGCGCTGAGAGTAGCCCAATATTTGTCTGGTAGTGCAAACAAGGGCTTGGAGTATACCAAAGATCACAGACACGTGAATGAATTCGGGAAATATGGATTGCATTGTGCTGTGGACGCTAGCTTTGCAGATGACTTTGAATCATCTAAATCAACAACAGGCTATGTTATATTTATGGGAGGAAGCCCAGTCATTTGGAGGTCAAAACTACAGACAACAGTATCTACACTGACTTGCGAAGCCGAGTATGCAGCCATCTTCGAAGCAACAAAAGATTGCGCTTGGATAAGGACATTCCTGGAAGAACTGGGGCAAATGCCATCCGGACCCATCCCTGTCCTTGAAGACAACAACGGAGCAATCAAATGGGCTAACAGTACAGGAATCAGCTCTGGCCGAAGACATGTTCGTGTAGAGTACAACTACGCCACACAGGAAGTTCGCGACAAGAACATTACCATAAGGAAAGTGGAGTCAAAATTGAACCCAGCGGACGGCTTGACTAAACCGCTTAACAATGCGGCATTTAACGAGTTTGTTGAAAGACTTGGAATGGTAGATTGATTAATTAGCGGATTCAGGTTTAGGGGGCGTGTAAAAGTGCAAGGGAAATAATAATTGTGTAAACCTTAATCCTTGCATGTCCTATGTTAGCCCTAATAAGCGAGCGACGCTAAATGGGCTGATTTATGGGGGAACACTCTATACTTGGAATATGTGTAACTTTTGTATACTTAGATTTATATATACCGAGTTAGGGTAATATAACTTCACCTTTTGAGAAAGGTTTTAATAAATATAATATATTTGCTAATTCGCCCCAAAGAAAATCTACAGTAGCCGTCGCACTAAGATTGTGAAACAACGTAAACATATTTCATAGTGGTATTTGCGAATGAAATCTAGAGTATAAGTGTCTAACGTCAAATGAGTCATCCAGCATGTATACATAGCACTGACCATAAGTCAGAGCCTTTCCGACTCTATTTAAACAGGACGGTTGACAAATATATAAGAATAGCTTATCCTTACGTCAATCTGTAGAAGTGTTTGTTCATTACCGCAAAGGTTTGGAATAAGTATGATTGATCAATAAACTTAGTGCAATACCTATCTTTTCCTTCTTCAGCTCCAGCCGCCTTTCATCTATCGACCTACAAGGCTCTCACGCTATTAACCCACTTCACACCATATCTAGAATTCACCCGCAATTCAGGTTAGAATGCCAGGCCATTCTGTGCACGTCAATGCGCTAATGGGCGTGTAAGTGCAAGACATGCGGTGTGCATTGAAATGGCGCTTTACAACACACAGATCAAGGCAACTTTTGTATGTATGTCAAACATTTGTGTGAAGCCATACAAACGGGACCGTACCCCGTAATCTAGGGTCAAGTTCTTGTATGCAGTGACGAAGTTTATCCCAGACATAGCTCGATAGCTAAAAGCACGTTAAATGATTGAAAAAAGGTCCGAAGACAAACATGTGCTTTCTGAGGGCTCGTCAACGCTGTACATGCCAGCACAGCAGACCTATTTGTAAAGTGGAGCCATCTCCTCGATTCCCCTGATCCGTGCAGTAGAAAAGACCGACTCTCGTATGAAGACGTCACTTGCGTATTGCCCAAAGGTCCAGAAGACGATGGCTTAACTGGCGTCTCAAAAAGTTTAGAATGCGGGAGTTAGACTCAGATCAGCATCTAACATGTTTAATAGACGAATTCTTCACCTTCCAGTGGTGCCGGTGTAATCGCTCAGTATGCTTTGCATATCTGGGATAGCCAAGAAGAATCGCATCCGAATCGAAGTCGAAAGCAAACACATGCATATCTCCATTTGACGACTTCTCAATCATGCAGCACTCACCATCATCTTCTGAGTCCTCAACCCCGATCTTACCACATATCATCTCGCCTCGTCGACCGATAAAGGCGTCACCCCAATTGCAAACAGGAGCTTGCCTCATTCATCACCGGCCATCACTCACTACAAATTTACGACGCTATGTATACCCGCAAGGAGGAAATCAAGTCGAAAAATACAAAGTTGGGGTCTTGGTTTATGAGGGACTGCTGCTCTAATGGGGTTATACATCTTGAGGAAGGACAAGCGGCTGAGATGTGGAGCAAGAGAGGAAAGAGGTCTTTGAAGACCATGCTGCGACTGACATCTTCGAGGAGTTTTCAACTTTGGATTTTTTGTGGGCGCCAAGACTAATATTTCGGCTAATTAGCCAGAAGGGCTTGTATTGTCGATGATTCAACGGCACTCCCCAGCGCCCTGGACGGCACAAAAGAAGCTAGGCTAAGCTGCCATACAGCAATCACGCTCTGTCAAGACTTTGAAGACTTTTCAGCACGACCTTCGGGAAGGAGTTGGAAGGAGGCTAGAAAGGCAGAGGGTGAATTTCTCGAGGTACACACAAGTCTGCAGCGCCCAGCTGGCCGGCCCCTTTGAACGCTTCAGAAGGATCACTATGTCTTCGGATTTAGTCCTAATGTCGGTATTAGGAGAGCTCCGTACCCAGTGGTTTTTGCGATTTTTCCTGGCTGCCATACACCCGTAGATGGCCATCGTTTCGTTGGCTGGAGAGGGAAAATAATGAAGGGCTCAGGGCTTCTCTAAGTGTATAATCGAATGAAGACTTGTGAGGGATGATACTCTTTGAGGGGAGCTGTATGGGAGGCATAGGAAGGGATATACTACGACATATGTATCCTTGGTCTATAGGCAGATAAGACCTACATGTCCTACATAGTCATAGACTCAGACAGGACAATAAAATGAATTAATAATATATTTAATACGGCTGTTCTTGAGGAAGAGTTTTTTTGCTACATCTATGTGTAATTTCTAGTCGCTCGTAAGTTGGCAACATGCATTAGAATAAGTCAATCAAGTGCTCACCAGTTAGCAAAGAGTTAATTATCTCGATATCAACACGCCTACCGAGCTTACTATCGCCGCCGGGGTCCACGTGAGAATCCTTGGAGGCAAATCTAAATTTAAGGGGTAAATTAGTCTAGACCAAAGTAGATGATATGCATGGCTTATTCTTGCATCAACTGCTTAGGTGAGGATTGGGCGTTGTTGGACCCGTTACTGACTCATCGTAAATCAATTCCACTGCCGCAAAGACCACGCGGCTAAGGGGGACTATTCTCTACGCCTATCAGCAGTGTCGCCTATGAACCTCTAGCTCTCACTGTAGAGTCTGCAGAGCCAAGGAAAAGCCACACCTTTTCAACTTTGAGCTGAGTGATCAACCCCTCCGTCAAAGACACGCTTCCGATAAAATACAAGACAAAGACGACATAGACGACGATAATGATGCTGGGAATGAAGACAGATAATGCGGTACGAAACTCTACCATGGTAGTTAGAGAAGCCCTTGTTTGATTGCAACATGTGCTACAAAACGGCGGGCAAACAAAAAGCCCACGAAAGCAAAGTAAAAGACCCTTCCGCCCTCAAGAAAAGCAGATTTCGACTCGTGAATAGAATCGTCCCTACTAATCTTTACCTCCGAATCTACTAGCCAGGAGGGCATCTGAAATACATGAGTTTCCCGACAACCCCACGTCCGTACCGACTTTTAGATGCTAGGCTAGGCTCCTTCACGGCAGTCACTCTCGACCAAGACTTTTCTGACATCTTTTCCTGACCTTCGGTTTGTCGTGCGGCATGAATCAAGGTAGGAGTGAAGAGAAGGCTAGAAAATTTGAGAGACGCTCTTAGGTATACACAGGTCTGCTGCGCCCGGCTGGCCGGCCTCTTCGTCATAGGAGAGTCCCGCACCTAGTGGTTTTTGAGACTTTTCCCTGCAGCTACACACCCGCAAATGGCCATTGTTTCGTTGGCTGGAGAGGGGAGATGATGACGGGATAACGGCTCCTTTTAGTGTGTACTCGAATGAAGACCTGTGGGGGTATTACTGCTGGAAAGAAGTCGTGAGGGAGGCAAAGGAGGGAGTACACTACCCGAAGCATAGATACTCCCTGCCTGTAGGTAGAAAGGACCTACATGTCCTTACATAGGTATAGACTTTTTAGGACAATAAACAACCACTCACTCACAACGTGTTCCAGAACTTAATAATATTTTGTAAGCGTTTATGCAAGCATAAGTCTAGGTGCAGTCCAAAGGCGATAGCACGATCTGCGTGCAGGCATGCCAGACTAGTAATGATGATCAGGGGCATTAGTAGGGTAGAATTAGATATCATAGCGCTACATTGGATTCATAGTACGGAGAACATTAGTCAATTCATTCTTATATTTGCTTTCATTTTTTGACGATGCACGTGACATTCACACGAAGACCTTTCTAAGTATTACATATTGAACAAGCTTCTGCAAACAAATTTGTGGAGAGCGAAACTATTATGTAATTTAAGCAAACGATCCTATTCGAGTTCCAATGTCTCCTACGAAACGTCAAAGCAGGTTCAGGAGATCCTCCCAGATTAGCACAGCACAGCGATGACGTGGTCAAACGTTAGCCTCGGGCTTCCTCAGCTTTTTTGTTAAATCAAATGAGCCGAAAAGGCCAAAATTGCCCATTCGCGGAATCGAACCGCGGATCTTCTCATGATCGCTAACATACGAGTGAGACGCTGTACCCCTAAGCCAAACGGGCTGTGTCCAACAAGACACTTTTATTACTATAATACATCTACATCGAGACAAACTATTCCCGATTCATTCGAAAAGCCGTCGAAGCAGACCTCCCCTTCTTTGATTGTTAGACAACGAAAGAATAGATGAATATTATGTAAACTCAATCATGAGCAGAGTTTCCACTTGTTCAGAAAAATCATAGATACAGACGAAGGTGCAGTACGTCTGTAGGAAGATCAAGCTCTCCAGAAATAGAAGACCATATGTTCGAGCACAGATGGAATAATAGTACTGACCCTCTGCATTCAAAACTATAGCAAAGACCAACCAAAATACATAGAGAAAGAAGCAAAAAATGTTACGAGAAGAATGCCGATTTAGCTAGGGATGACGCCAAGAGCCTGAAGAAATAGCGGTTGCAAATTCCTAGACCAAATTATTTTGCATCGTATTCCGAGATCTACATATCAGCAAAGTGGATGGCAAAGACTGAACACCTGTCAGTGGTGCTCTATACGAACCTGGGAGTGAAATATTCTCCCAGAGCCGAGATTCAGTCACGAAAAAGTGTGGGACGAATTTTTTTTGATGGATTTTCGACTTGAAGGAGTTGCACTCGATATTTTGGTCGAAAAATCAGTCGGCAGAGATTTCACAGCCGGAACAAAATTGAACTAAACCTCATCATTACCAACATACGATTCACGAATGAATTTAGGTCTGTCTGGGGGTCGTATTCAAACATCCGACATCTCTCAAACTCCATATGTATTTGCGACGAAGCATTTCTTAGTCGATTCTACACCTGCGACCCACATCTATATTACTCACATCACCTACCTACACACGCCCTAATGAGGAAAGTTATGATGGAAACGGGACGTTTACAAAGGAGGAAGAAAAGGGAAGATACACTGAAGGGATTACACAAATCCCCAATGACGAC